GTGGCAATTTGAGAATGTTTGGGATGCGTTTCTCACCACCCAAATGCAAATTGTTGCTCCACGATTGGTCTTCAACGGTGCACGACCATGGCTAACAATAGAGAGTGTAGTGATTGAGTGTGTCGACCACTTCACTCACCTGGGAAGTAGGATCAGCCCTACCCTGGTGGCTCAGTGGACGATGAAATCTCTGCACGGATACAAAATGCTCGACTGGCTTTCGCCAACCTACGCCACCTGTGGCGCCGCCGTGATATCCGAGTGTCTATTAAGGGTCGCGTGTACTGCCCAGCAGTCCACTCTCTTCTACTCTATGGCTGTGAAACATGGCCATCGAAGGTGGAGTACATAAGAAGGCTGGCTTCAGGTGTTTGACCACCGTTGCCTTCGTAGTATAGGCCGCCGTACTCCGTGGTGTCACCACGTGAGTAACGCAAACGTCAGATGTAGAGTTTTAGGGAGAAGAGGTAAATCAGTTGACGAGGTTGTGAACCTTCATCGATTGAGATGGCTGGTTGGGACATGTGTTACGTATGCCTAGCCGCCGACTGCCTCGTCACACAATGTTGGCCGGAGTAGGTTCAGGCTGGTAAAAAGCCCAAGGTGGCCAGACTAAAACATGGCATCAATGTATGAAGTCTCTGACTGTTGGTCTGAGACATAAGGGGCGATGCAGACTAGGCGGTTGAGGTCCACGGGACAAGAGGAACCAGTGGTTGGAGACTCTAGGTGATCACATGGCTGAGAACCGATGTCAGTGGCGCAGATGTCTACATAACATTATCCTCATCTTAACGACGCTACACCGAATCTCATTTTCTCATTCTTCCTTTTCTTCTCCGAGTGCTTTATATTTCTTTTGACTGAATTTTCTTATCTTCATCTTCCGCTTCACTGACTTTTTACTTGGTGTACTGATATGAGCTGTGGCAACTCAGACCGTTACACAGTAATGCCTAGTCCTATGTTGATATTGATGGTGATGATGAGTCTTTTCTACTAGGGCAACGGTGGTCAAACATCTGGAATCTCATGTCTATCTTCAATGGCCGTTTCACAGCTATATAGTAGGAGAGAGCGAAGTGCAGCGCTTTCTGTGACAAGACTGATCCATGTAGTCAAAAAACAAGATGGGAACCTCCATAAATAAATCTACAACAAGAGTAAATGAGAATGAAGAGAGTAGACATGTTTTGATGCATATCAGTCAGCATACATAACTCACCTGGTAACTCATCACAGGTTCTGATGCCCACGGGTGTTCGAGTACAGCACCTCCAATAAAATAGTTTAGTTACCATGCGGCCAATTTCAGCGAAAAGTGGCACCATAAAACATCTCGGGTTTACTTTTCATAAACTCCGCTTAAACACTTAGCAATTAAAAGGCCCAGAATCTTAGACACTACTTCCATCAGGCTGATTCCCCTGAGGTTACCACAAGGGAGTTGGTTTCACCCCTTATTGTGCTCGAAACCTGCAGGAATGCGTTCACACACAACCATTGATTTCAAAGAAAGTGAAGTCCCCTGACTCTTTTTAACCTATTTCTGAGTCCGTTACAGTCGCTAAAGTTTTTTTCACAGCACACTGGATGTGGCTGCAAGATTCTTCTAGATGAGTAGAACTGTCTTCTCCCGACAGCTGTCTATTTAGTTTCCGCCGAAAACCGCCTCAGGATACTCGTCATTGAGCTGCGCTTGAAATGGTCTTAATTTTTCGACTTCCATTTCGGCGTAGACACTCCTGAAGCAACACGTAATCACTGTCCAAAGGATGAGTCCCTGGAAACTACTTAAGACAAAAACCAAAACGTTGTGTGGAACACTGGGACAGTTCAACTGACCTATGGATACGCTTCAGCTGGTGAACATCCAACACGAACCTGAATGTGTGGTAAGCCAACCTTGACCACAGGTGAGAAAGCTATTTCAAACATGAAAGGACACAAAACAGCGGGAACAAATGGGTTCTCACAAGTTTTCAAGGATGGAAAGAAGAAAGTTAGTGAGTGGAGTAACTGTGGTATTATATAGTTTATAAAAAGCAGAAGTAGTTCAGCTGAACTGTTTGTATAGCTGATCGTTTCACTTCATAAGCAAGGAGAGAAATCTTCGTGTGACAACCAGAAAGGAACAAGTTTAAATAACAAAACGTAGCGGATTTTATGGTTTTCAACCATTCAACAGATAGACAGAACTCTGGGACAGTAAATTGGAGGAAATAAGGCACATTTCATGCCTGAAACAGGGCGTACTAGTCGCGTCTTCACCCTCCGCCAGCTTTCGGAACACAGGTATACTTGGCGAAACCTGACGCCTGTCACATCGCTTGACATAAAGATGGCATTAAATCCAGCCGACTTAATTGTTGTATAATTATTTGAGTGAGAAGAGAGTGGCGAAAAAGTATACTAATCTCGCCAAGGATTTCTACTGGAACTGACGCAAACGGATGAAAGACTACCAAGGGTTGTCTGAATTAATGACAATCATTATTCTCTGCCAGTGAAGTCCACTATCACCATTCCTATTCAAATTCAGTATTTACATGCCTACGAATACAACTCTGTGTACCTCTGGCTTCTCAAGGTTATTAGACATGAAGTTTGATAGACATAAGGTCACGTTTGTGTCTTCGTAGTATTGCTGCAGTGTTGTAGAATCCCATATGAGAGTAGAAGAACAAACAAAGATGAGCCAACCCACTAAGTTGAAAACCGTTGATTGGGTTGACATAAACATCTACTATAAACCATGTCACCCATCTCTAGTCACCGTCTACCTTGACACGCAATGTTAACTGAAGTTCGGTTGCATCGAAAAACGCTAGTGATCCAACTAAAACGTAGTACCAATCTAAGAATTCTTTAGCTGATGGTAAGAGCAGTTTAAAGAAACTTAGACCTCCAGTTTAAAGTCCACGTAACAACTGAAACTGAAGGTCGGCAACTGCTAGTGGTATGATTTGAAACATCATCGCGACAAATATACTTCCACGGCTTATATCTATGTTAAGGAGCATATCAAGTCTCGTTACTTGCATTCACCTGTTTTCTTCACCTTACGGCTTTTGATAATTTTATCACAGTACTACTACTTCTAATCATATCTTGAGTTACACTTAGATGTGATGAGGTATGAAAACTTGAACTGATGCTCAGTAACGTCAAATCATATATTGACAATTACTAATTATTAGAATACTCTAGTTCATCAGTCACTAGGTAAGCTGAATTCGTGCGAATCCAGCTACTTTTCGATTATAACACTAACTGAAAACTAAAAAAGTGTAGTCTCAAGGTGCTTTATGACCAAAATTCTATGGTTCATTGTACCACCTATAGCCAAAAAAAACATATATACATGTATACACTCATTCAGACGTGAACGGTACAGTTCAGGAAACAAGTGTATCTGAAGCATAAAAATGGCAGTTTCTTTGTTCATTACTTTACACAGCAATTGCAGTTTCAGCCAAATTACCACGGATCAACTTTTTACCATAAAATACGGAGACGCAGATTTCAACATACTGCTTCAGTAACAGGTACTTCTCATAGCATTATTATCAGGCATTTAGGACCTGTCCCCTTTTCAATGAGCTCTCACAGCCAACAATCGTCAACGGGTATCAGCCTCTGCCAACCAGAACCGAGTTCACCTGCAGGTAACCCAAATGAGGATACCGACTACAAAGTGGTATCCTCAATAGAATCTATGCCCAAACCACTACTAAATGCTGAGGAAGATGCATTTCAGTTCAGTGAGCAACCAATTTTGGAGTCACTCAGGATTGTTTACTGCTCAAAGATCAGTCCAGCACAGATCCAAATCTTGCTTGAACAGTTGCGACCTTATCATCCACAACTGCCAGTTGATCGCAGAACACTTATGGGAACTCTAGGCAAGCCTATAACAAGAAGTGTTGGACCCGGGACGTACGTTCACATTGGTCTTGAAAATCAACCAAAGGCCTGTGTCATGAGATATCAAATTCCAACGTCAAGTAGTGAAATGTCATTTTACTGAAACGTAGACGGCGACCAAATTTTTATGAACTCGAAGTTGCAGTTGTGGGCGGTTATGGAGAAAATTGTCCACGCGAAAATAAGTGGTTTTTTCAGTGAGTGTATACTGCGGTCCCTATAAGCCAGAAGATGCCGTGATCGACTTCAGCTGTGCAAAAAGAGGCCTTGTCGTGAGGCGCCGGTATGTTTACTTTTGAAACCACTGACATTCCTCAGTTACTAGATGCGGATAAGCATGGTTGTACATCGGAGTATGCTGAAAGCACCCGAGTATCATCTTCACCTGAGACTATGGGTAATGTCAACTAAGGTGTAATCGGCAATTATGAGACGGAAGAAGTTTTGGGAAAGCAATTTTATATTTTTATAATAAATCTATTCATCCCATACGTCTGCATCATTTTACCACTAGTCATTTTAACGATAACACGGTTACGTAATTTGCATGGATATTGACTGCACGCACGTCCATGTTCGTTTGTTTAAAAACTGTTGAAGCCGTACTTTGGGCGTTTTCGGGACGCAGTTTGGGACTTTTGGGTTTTTCGGGGGAAACCTTGGGCGTAGTTTGACGGATTTTGGGACTTTAAGGGCTAACTTCTCGACAACTTCAGGAGCGACGATGCATTATCGGCAGTAGTCCCAAAGTTGTTAGTGCCGTTTTTTACCCAAAAATGTCAAAGTGTGCCCAAAGCATTTGCCGGCTGGGGAGTTCATATGGAATATGAGGTAAGTGATATAGTTTATCAAATATCCAAGTTTGTCACTCCAAAAGAACAATCACATGTGTCAAGCTGTCCCATCAGTCACTTCACATTTCACCTGCGAAATTCACCCACTAAATTAGCGTATAGTAAGCCACTGCATCAAACATTTTACCTAACGAAACATTAAAAACATATCAAACGTTCAATAGACGTTTAGGTAACAGCTAACTTTGCATTTAAGTATACATATATATAACGACAAACCTGATATACGCTATTCTTGTGGGGTAACCATAAGAAACTCCCAACTACACAAAAGTTACTTGCACCTATGTAACTATGGCCTTCGAGACAAATACTCCGCGCCTGTTCAGTTCAAACTTCATGTTTAAAGTTAGTGAACGATGCTTCCTTGGGTCCTACTTCTGTCTTATTAGAGTACGTTCAGGGTTTTGAATGGCCACGACTATCTTCCCGGCTCCGAGAAACCTGAAAGGATAGAGACAGTAGATTATTAATTAGTCTGGTCTGAAGTTAGTATTACTGTACCTGATCTATAGATGACGGAAAGCTTCTCGAGTACAGTTGTAATGACCCTTAAGCGTTGCAGACACTCAGACTCACAGCAGACACAGGGAGACTGAAGAAGAATAGGAATTTCGCAGTACCGTATTTGTTAGGGACACAGCTTAAACTCAGCAGCTCAACACAACACTGGATCTAGACAAAGCTTTTATACGTCCTCGTCAATGTTAAGTTTACGTATTCGCTGTTCCATCTCTACCGACTCGTTCGCTGTGTTGTATTCTGAAAAATAAAGAAAGAGAACATAATTAGTGTTATTAATAAGGTTTCGAATACATTACACAGCGCTTCGGTACCGCAAGACTCAAAATATGCATCTAACCTCCTTTTAAGTGTGTCAGAGGATGGGTCTGTAACAACTACTGAAGGGAGGAAGTTCCACAATTTACAAACTCTATCTTCAGACGAGTTAGCACCGATCTTCGTTCGTGCTCTCTCATACTCTATTCTTAACGAGTGACCCGGAAGGGATCTGTTAGGATGAATGGGATTATGGGTGATGTTGTACATCATGATCATGTCCCCACTCATCCTCCGTTATTGTACTAGGTGCAGCTCAAGATCAACTAAGCGGTCCGGGTAAGGTTTGTACCTAACCCAATCACTTTCTGTGTGACCGTTCTGGGATGGCTATATCCTTCTTCAAGTATGGGGACATCACAAGCTAGTTTCTCTCTAGATTAGGACGAATGTACAGAGCAAACACTGTGGTGAAAAAAGAAGGAGGTAAGCTCCCGAAAATTCGAGAAAGAAACCCGGAGGCTTCATAAGTCTTGTCGATCGCAAGGTGACAGTGTACAGAAGCTCCTAGCGTGTCGCTTAATGTAACTCCCAGATCTTGTTCCACGTCAGGGTGACAGATATTTATTTCACCCAAGGAGTAACAACTGGAACTGCTTTTATATTTGTCGACTATCATCATCCCACACCTCTTCGAGTTGACAGGAAGCAGGTTTTCTGTAGCCAGATTAAAGATTTTCGTTAGGTCCTCTAGGAGGACCGAAGTATCCGTTGGTTCCTGTATTTCCCTCCAACTCTTCAGGTCATCGGCATAAAATAATAAACGAGAGTTGAGGGATCCTGGTACGTCACAGTAGTGAGCCCAAAATAGGACTTTGAGGCATACCACTCGGCACTGTGGGCCAACTAGATAAAGAGGAACCAACTCTTATTGACTGCAACCTGGTGTAAAGATAATCTCCAGGCCAAATGAGTAATTTTCAGTGTACACCCATAAACTGAAGTTTTTTAAGTTTTTATTTACTTCACCAACGGCCTCAGAAAAGCCAGGTAAGCCGATGTGAATGAGCTCCTGCCCAACAGAGACAGCATAGCTACTCCAAGCTATCAACAAGTTGGTGTCAAATGACCTTCCGGGTAAAAAACCATATCGACAGTCGTTTAAGATTGAGTCCTAAGTAAGTGGTCACGAACTAAGTCACTCGTTACCCTCTCCGTGACCTTCGCAACTGAAAAGATCAGGGAGATAGGTCTATAGTTAGAAGCAAGTAGTTTCTTTCCACCTTTGTATATTGGCACGACAGCCACCCGTTTCCAATCGGAGGGTAACCCGCCTTCCGGAAAGGAGCACCTGAGGAGGTTTGCTAGTGAAGCGCTCAGAACTCCAGCACACTCTTTGACGACTGTTGGGTGTATCTCATCAATTCCCAGGAACTTATTCGGGTTCATATTCTTTAACATTTCCATAATTGCAGAGAATTCAAACTCTGTACGGTACAGCCCCACTGCAATACGGGTGTCCGACAGATGCGCGGCTGTCCCTCTAAAATGACAGAAGTTGTTTTGGAATTCGTGGGCCCGTAAGTTTGCTACCACGGAGTTGGAGCAGAAAATCACTAAATTACTGGGGCCCCCATATACCAAGTGAACTGTTACTCTTCTGTTCCATCAGCGAGCATAGCATCCCATGATCCCCCCCCCCAGGGTTCTACACAATTGTGTGTAGCAGTTTATTTCGTCACTTCTGATTCTTATCGTACGTTTGTCACAGATGTCTTTGTAACTTAGCCAGTCAACAGAGCCACTGGTGGCCCTCCATTGATTTCAAGGTGACCGTTTACGCCGTATAAGTCTGCCCGTGCCCGACCCAAGCCAGGAAGAGTGGAACTTGCTAGTTCCTCCTGGAATCAGAGTGTTGTTATATATCATCTGAAGGCTTGTCCTTCAACAGATCCCATCTGGCATCTAGATCCAGTAGGTCATCGTAACTTAGGCAAGGGGAACCTTCTAGATCTTGCCAAACCTTTCCAAAATCAGTTCTCCCATAATTCCTAACTGGTGGCTGATCAGGAGCGGGTAGCTTGGATATGGAAACATCGAAGGGAATAACTGTATGATCGCTCAGCCTGAAGGGACTGAGAACATTCAAGTTGGTTACCTCAGTTAACTGGTTTGTGAAAATATAATCTAGTCGGGATGCCTTGCCGTCAAACCTCCAGAGAGTACACTGAGAGACATGTTCAGTCAAGGAGTTTTCCAGCCATAATTCCTAAACGTCTTTTAAAGCAGTAAACGGAATTTTGACGTTAAAGAGCTGGGGAAAGTTGAAATCTACCATAATGAGAGCCTGCGGAAAGTCCAGTTCCAGAGCCCCTCTAATGGATTTTATCAACGTTTTATCTAGCTTGGTACCGACTCCAGGAGGGCGGTATAAGGCCCCAACCAAATACGTACTTCACAGCAATTAGCTCCACAGCAGAGAAAATCTTTAGTGCCAATTTCATGGAACTGAATCCCATAGGTTTTCAAGGGAGGACAGGTGTAAAGAGTACCACCACCATATGAACCCTCCGATCTATCCTTCCGGATTGCGCTGAGCTGTTTCAAACGAACCCCCAGTCTTCCATGTTCTCTGTGAACCGCGTTTCGTGGAAGACCATTATGCTACGGCTATCCTCCCCAACTGATAACCTTAACTCTGGCGTCTTGGAGCGCAGGCCACGCACATTGCTACAGGTACAGCGAATGAGAGTTTGGGGGCCGGAAGTCCCGGAGGCAGGTTGAGTTAAGAATATGGTGCCAGCCTTCAGAGGCCTGGATCTGATAAGTTTTTTAATGGGGAGGCGGAACCAGGGGCTACTAGATCCGCCAATCTGTTTGATTGAGAACTAGTGCAGGATTCTTCGATCTGGGGCAAGGTCAATAAGAATTCCAACTCAACGTCCAACAGTTCGATCGTTCTATATGGACTGACCAACGACAAGTACTTGGATAGCCTCTCGGTCTGCCTTTGTTCCCTGGGTTTGCACTCGCCTATCTTAATTTCTCTAGGGAATGCATCAGATACACCATGCCAGGATTCCAGGATAGTTCTGGCCATGTCTAGAGGGTCAAGGGTTACTTGGAGCAGCCTGGGCGTACGGACGGTCGAGTGGCTCACCGGTATTAAAAGACGGTTAATTTTTTCGGCCCCACATTGACTCGGAGTTTGCTGACCATGCATCTCCACCGATTTATGTCGTGGATATGTTCAGTAGTATCAGTCCCCGAACACTCGCGAGTCCCGTAAATGATTACTGAACAGCAGGGTTCCTGAGAGTGAACTTTTTTGCTGTTTTGAGGAAGTCCCTCCACTGTCCAGTGTCTGTCAGACCTAGTTCCAACATCAGACAAATTCTTCCTGGCCAACTGATGACCTTTCAAAGTGATGCATTCAGACTGACGAGTGCTATTGAGAGACACTCTCAAAAGCCCAGGAAGTCTTTTGAGGGAGAACTTGCTACGCGCTAGGCGTTGGAGAGATGGACTACAGGGTGAGGTTCCTAGAAGTTCACAAACATTCTTCCATTGACCAAGATCATGCTCTTCAGGATCAGTCAATACGGGAAAGCCACTTTCCTGAACATTAAAGGGTATGAGGGGTCTAATGCTAAGGCTGCAGCCTAACTTTTGGGATTTAGCCCTCCTTGTGAAGGCAGACCCAGATTTTGGGAGCGACCAGCGGGACATGAGCTGCCAGATGTGGGAGTTACCCTTGGGATTGACCGAGGCCGATGATGAAATGCTAGTGGTCTTCGCCACGCCAAACAAGCAGTGGGGCTGAGATCTGCTTCTTCAGATAGTTTTTCACTTGTGGTTCGGCTTTCCGCTAGGCTGAATAGCCGCTACTTTGCCAGGCTTGCAATCCTTCCCCAAGGTCTTGTTTTTGACTGGTTTGACCTGCCTACATTTCTTCAACCCCTTCTTTCGGCACTGATCAGGTGTGGGATTCAGATTCATCGCTGAGAGGATCTGCTCTGAATGCATGCCAACAGGGAGGCAGTCCGTGACTGCGATGATTTCCTTTCTACCTTCATTTACGCATGAAACGTTGGTATTGCTCACCACATAAGAGTAACCCATAATTTTGCAACTTTCCTTGCTACTAACCTTAGGTGTCTTTTGGGACCATGAGACTTCTTTTGGTTGAAGCTGGTTTGAGTAGAGATGTCAACTGTAAAGTGACCACAGTTCTGTCCCACTCGCTCCAGGCCTATTTAGTATTTACTTTTGGACCTACAACATCGACGAAAATACCAATCTCCACCAAAACGTCTATTGAGTAGTGTAACGACCGAAATCCAACTATTTTCTCCTGAACTCAGGAAACAACTAGGCGACATTAAACTAATGCGAACCTGACAGATTCCCGCATTCTGCCGTATAGTTCCCGTACTTCCAAGAGTGGCGCACGGTCAAACGTTGGATCAGCAATGTCAAGAACACGGCTTGTGGTAAGTCAGTGGTAGATTCGCGACAAGTCTTTGGTAGCATCAGAGCAACAATAAGTTACATC